CAACCCAAACCCTTCCATGAGTCTGTGGTTGAGTGTGGATGTGGTTCCCATCCTCCTGGCCAGGGCTCTGCTGCCACATCTCCCAGTTCCCACCCTGTTGACTCTGGCTGGGGGCCCTGGGCACTGCTCTGGGGAGGGCTGGGCAGTGCAGGGACATCCAGCTTGGGAAGGGTTTGGAGGGACAGCCCTATTCACAGCTCCTCCTGCTGTACTGAAATCTGATTGACATACCAACAGGACAGAATTCCTGGGAAATTAAGATTAGCCAAATGTGGTGTGAGTTGGGGTTTCCCCAGGGCTGTTTGGGGGTGCCAGTTCCTGACTGCAAATTCCTCAGCAGTCTCTGGCAGCTTGGGGTACTGGAGTGACCTGAGAGGACACTGCTTGTCCTATCCTTGTAAACCACACAAATGCCTCTTTTCTTCTGGAAACTGAGAATCCAGGAGCTGGATCTCCACAGAAACCACTGAATCTTTTCCCAGGAAAACAGCCCCAGGGCTGGTTCCAGTACGGTCCTGGCACAGGCAGAGGCAGAGGTGGGGGGTACAAAGAGTAGAGGCTGCTGAGGAGCCACGAGATGGCTTGGGGGGGTTTCTCTCACTACTCTTTTTTTCTCTGCCCCCTTCTCCTGCCCCCTCCCTGCCTCCTCCCCCAGCTGGTGAACACCTTCTTCAGCTTCCTGAGGCGTAAGACGGATTTCTTCACTGGTGGAGAAGATGGAGTGGCAGAGAAGGTAAAAAAAAAAAAAACAAATCCTCCAGCTCTTTTTTTACCTTCTCACTTACACACCACCCCCATCTGGGCCACCCTCAGACTCCCCTCAGGGCAGCTGGGGCCGAGCAGCCTGTGCTGCTGGTGGATCTCTGATCAGCTGTCCCCCCTGTCCCAGGGGAGGCACACACACAGCTGCTGGCTCCAGCTGGACCAGTGGAGCAGAGGGGGGTTTTTTTTTTTGCCACACTCTGGCCAAAGGCTTGTTTGGAAAGTAAATGTGCCAGACCCAGTGACTGCACGGTGACAGACACCGTGGTGGTGATAACCCTGGGTTACCTTGTTTGCTCATCACAGAAACAGCCCAAAGTCCACGGCCCTGGGCCTTTGTCTCGGGGCTGTGGTGCTGCTTCAGGGTGGGGAGAGAAGTTTTGGGGGGTCTGGGTGGCCTCCTGGCAGCCTGAGCATCTCCTGTGCTGTGGGTGTTCCTCACCCTGCTCAAGGAAAACTTGAAAAATGAAATTGTCTCCCTGTA